TCACTTTTGCACATAAAGCTTGAGCTGGGTTCCTCCATCATGGTTCTATACGAATTCTGGGTGAGATGACTCCTTGGAGTGGGAGTTATGCATTCGAGGACGTTGAGGGCAATCCTGACCTTTACCTACTTGATGTCATAGCCCTATACCTCTTCTCAGTTGTAACAACCAAAAAGGTGCTAGACATTGTCCAATGCCCAGGGTGTGTGTGTGTGTGTGTGTGTGTGTGTGTGTGTGTGTGCATGCACGCGCGTGTGCACACATGCACACCCACATGTGAGAGTGGGTGTGGGGAACATAGAACAACTGATTGCTGTTTGGGACTTCAAAACAAACACCCTAGTGGGGTACATGGGAAGAAGCAATCTTCAGATTCATCTGGATAATTCTATTGGAAGTATTTTCTGCAAGTTTCCCCCACTCTCAGAGCTGCTTTTAGAACCACTTTTGGAACATCATAAGGTGATAAGTCTTACTTCTTCATGCTCATAGCTCAAGACTTGGAATCCTACGATTTTAGAGTTGGAAAAGATCTTAGAGATTAGCTGGGTTCAAATAATTATGTAATCCAGGCACTATGTGAACTCCTCCAAACTCAAGAGTGTTAACGATGTCTGTCATTTAAGACACCGCAGCTGTGCTAAAGAGAGATTATCAGATGTAGTTCCATGTGAAATATCTGGATCAGAGTCATGTGCACAATATAAACCAGAAGTTGCTGCCTCAAATGCAATCTGAGGCTTCCAGAGGATTCTACCCTAGAGGTTTGTAATGATTTAATGCAAGCACAAAAGCCTAGAGTGTGGTCCAGCCCCATTGCTGGAACATGGTGTGGTGGGGGGAAGATTACGGATGTACCGTGGAAACCAGTGCTGGCAACCATCACAAGATTTTTAGCAAAAATAGTACTCAGTTCTGTTGCTGGAGCTGAAAAGCTTGTTTTGCTTATACAACATTTATCTCTCCTAGTTGACACCATCCTGTATTCATTTGCCTGAGATGGTCCACTTAAGTAAAAGTAAACCAAAGGAAAGTCATCTAGAAAACAAAATCACCCAGCACTCTGTTTATTCATTTTTCATAAACATCAGCAACATCTCCCTTACCCAACCCCCCACCTACCCCCCCCCACCAGAACAATCATTGTTTTCTTGTTTGTGCTTTCAAAGGGAAACTCCAAACCCACCCTCTGTCACCGCTACTCCTGCACCCACCTTGGCACAGTGACTTGAAGTATAGAGATGTCTGATCTCATAAAGAGAATTTGGGAGGCCAGAGCAATAGAAGAGCAGGCAGGGCACCGCCCTCATGCATAGCTGACCCAGGTGTGATTCCCTACACCCTATATGGTCTCTCAACCACACCCTCCTACCCCCCAGGAGTGATCCCTATGCAGAGACCCAGATGTCAGCCCTCAGCCCTGAGCACCGCCCAATGTGGCCCTCAAACCAAGAATAAATAAATAAATAAAAATGTTAAGATGAAAGCGAATTTGCAAAAAGTACTTTCTCACCTTAATCCACAGAGTTTTCTAGAACCAACCAATCTGCAGTTCACTTACAACTGCCCCTGTGTGACCCAGGGCAAAAGTCATGAGAACCAGCCCTTTTGGCCACTCATCTAAAGTTCACATCCTGGCATCAGCCTATCTGCAATCAAGACTTTCTGTTTCCCATTGTCTTATCTTCAGTGTCAATTGGTTTTAACTCAGGCTTAGTGCAAAGCAAAAGGGTGTGATCAGCCCTTCAGGATGCCAATGGGCAAATTGGGGTTGGGATGGTTTTAAATCACCATTTCAATCACCAGCTATTCTCACCAATTTCTACAAAGGCAGGATCAAAGCCCAGTTAAACCTACATCCCCATGCTAAGATACTCACACTTACAAAAGGAAGAATGCCAAGCAGAATACATGATGGTTGCTAATCTTCCCAGAATTTTCCAGGAAAGCAACTGCACTCTTTTAAGAGAAAGACCCTTCCAGGTCTCAAGGGTTGCCTCTGAGATTAGCTTGGACCAGTCATTTCCACTTCATGGAGCTGGGGTCTCAGTAGGGAAAGTCTCAGGGGTGACAATAAAACCAGTGACTAGACGTTTTATGTTCTTTCTAAAAAAATAGTTAACTGATAAGAAGAAGAGTTGCATGAAAAACAGACTAAAAATAAAAAAGGGGGGGGTACTGCTAAACTCTATGACCTCCAGGTGCTAAATTCCTCATAGAGACATCATTGCCTATAGTAGTCTGCAAGGAATTTAATTTAACAAAATGATAGGAACAAATGCAATTAGATTATAATTGTGTATACGTAAATATGCTTAGGGGAGCTCTGATAGAGTTTATGATGACTATATTCACCCAGAATTTTGGCCTACATTATTAATTGACACTACTATGAAGAAAGGGTTTGTTAATCAAAGATAAACTGTCCTAATGATTTTGAATTAGCAAACTCCAAATTATAGCAGGATAATGAGGCAGGGCCGTGCTCATATATAACTCTGCTAAGCGAACATTTTCTGGACGGCCACATAGGAGGTCTACTTATTGAAAGATTTATTTTTAATTTTGAACAGCTTCCCAGCATTACCCTTCACGAAAATTAAAATAAGAAGCTAGAATTTGGTCCCATTCAGCAAACCTCCTGGCAGAACGGCTCGCCATGTTAGACAAAAACCTCATCCTTCTTGTTCTTCAACCTGAAAAGACTCACACCTAAGTTTTTAATAAAACATTGATTTTTTTTCCTTCCCCTTTTCTCAGAATGCTTTTGCAGATTTCCTTCACTTGGAGGATTTTCAGCCTGTCTGCTTTGCACTCTTTGCTCTGTATTGGCCTACTGGGGCTGACATAATCCCTTGGCTTAAATCCTTAAGTATACAGAGTCAGAGACATCTCCCCCTAAGATCCTAGGGAGCCAAGCCTGTCCGCAGTACAGCTCCCAGGGGCTATTCTCCGCCAAGGAGGATGACTTCACCTTGTACATCACAGTCTGAAAAGGACCCGTTTCTACTTTTAGAGCAGTTAAGAACAGAAAGTCAGGATGTCTTTGAGGACAGCCCCCGCCCCCCACCCCAAAAGAACACTGGGGGCTAAATATGAGAATATTGAATCAATCATTAACCAGCTTCCCTGGGGTACCAAGATCATTATATATGTGGCTCCTTCCAACTCCAAACACACCAATCACATGACCGTATTTCTCAGGATCTTTGGGCAGTATTTCCACTGCCTACATCCAAAGAGAACTAATAAAACACTGGCAGTTCATATAGTACTCGTGATGCTGTCTAAATCTCCTAAATCACCCTCATCTTTGCAGAAGAAGAAAACTAATGATCACACATAGTCATCACAAGCTAAAAGTGTAAAATTAGGAGAGGAAAACATAACCAGATGATCTGTTCATATCACCTATTTGAAGACCAGTCACATCATCCTTCTGGGACCAACTTCCAATGCTGACCCAGTCTTATTTGTTCTAGAAAGTTCAGGGAAAGTGGAAAAGTAATGGGCTTTGGATGGGCATACTGGAATACTTCTCACTGCAAGATCAATTAGTAAGGATATGTTTTACGAAACTATTGAGTGCACTTACTGAAACATTCATTTCAGAGAAAAGTGCCATAAAAGGCAATAGGATGGCTGACGATTCATAATTCTTTTCCAACAAAGTTTCTTGTTCTTAAGAGATTCACCAAAGGGTAAACCACAGACCTTTTCTCTATTCCTCTAGAAATAAAATCGAAGGAGTTGGCTATAAAAATGTGAAACATGCGATAGAAATCCAGAATGAAAAATTAGTACGAGATCATTTGGAAGCTTTTGAAGAGTAGAAATGAGAATGAGGGAATCGGGAATCATCACCTACAAATTTAGATTCAGATGTGCACTTTGAAATTGGCATGAAGATTTTGAGATAGTTCTCAGTGAATCTATCAGAAACACTTCAAGAGTAGAATATGTTTTCTAACCCTCTGAGTTAGAAGAGAGAGTTACTGTAGAAAATGAGGCAATGGCGCTGGAGCGACAGCTCAGTGGATAGGGTACTTGCCTTGCATACAACCTGCCTGGGTTTAATCTCCACAAATCTTGTGGTGCTGTGAGGACCATGGGTACTGGGAATTAAAACTAGGGCCTCTTCACATCATGCACACATGCCAGCACCTAACCACCTCCCCAGGCCCACAACTGTGTGTTTAAGGAAAATTCTATCAGTCACACAGAAAAAGAAAGCTACCCATATCGTTCATTCATTGCTCATAGTTGAACATGGTGATTCTCATAAAATTCAATTCCATTATCTATGTTTACAAACAAGAAATAAGATGAAATCTATAGCTGATAATGCTTCTGCTGGAAAATACAGCAAATAACAATATTAGAATACTGTGGATTGGTAAAAAAGCCAACTTCCTCAGCCTTTAGGATATGACAATCTCCTTATACCCACATCCTGATGAAAAAATGGCCCAGAGAGTTCACAAGCAAAGTCCTGGAAAGAGTGACCCAATTCACAGGACTGTCCCCATGCCCCACTTTATTCAATACCTCCATGACCATGTAAGCAGCACCACCTAGAACACACTACACTGGCATTCTTCAAAGAAAGGTTTGATGAGCAGCTGGAGAGACTGAACAGCAATCAAGGACCTTGACTTGCCTGCAGCTGATCTTGGCCAGATCCTAGGCACTACACGTGGCTATCCCCTGAGCACTGTCAGGAGCAAGCCCCAAGCACAAAGCTGGAAGCAGACCCCGAGAAGTTGAGGGGAGGTGTGTGCACAACTTCTCCATACATGAATAGAAATGTCTACTACATAACTAAATGCCCCTACATAACTAAATGTCCTTTAAAGTATCTTTAGTATTATATTGCAGTTCACACTGGAACATCATTAGAGTCAAGTGGTTCTACTTCAGTGGCTGAACTTTAATAACCATTCAGGAGCTCTATGTCTCCGTATACATAGACCATAGGATAAAGTGGATCTGGTTCCTACCTGCTTGGTTGGTGGTCACGGTGACAGACACAGACTGGTCCTGGCTAGGGTTATACTTGGATACTCCATTCACCGCCCAGATTTCGAACGTGTAATTGGTGTGAGCAAGGAGGTCAGTGATAGAGACTTTGGTGGTCTTCAGGCCATTCTGCTGTGGGGTGTAGTGAACCCCACTCCCACAGGGTCGGCACTTGCTAGAGTCACCAGCTCCACATTTCTTGCAAACCACGTTGTAGGAAATGTCCTGGCGGCCACCTGTGTTCTGAGGACCGCTCCACTCCAAGTTCACCGAGGTCTCGTTGACATTTGAAATCAAGTTGAGGGGGGCAGACGGTGGGCCTGAAGGAGAAAGAGGGGAAAAGAGAAAAAATTGAGGATCACACCAAGAACTGAAACCATCCTCTCAAGTTGCTACTCATCTCTAAAGCTCCAGGGAGAAAAAGATGGAGGATGCCAAAGAAAGCCAAAATTGCATTTTTCCATTTTGCCAGTATCCTGGGGAAGAGAGCAAAGAGACACCTTAACAGGAGCTACAGTTGAAAACAAAGGCAGTAGTTCCGACTTTCAACTCATTCCTTTTGCCATTTCTTTTATTTTTGTTTAATCAAAGAGATAAACAACAGGGGCTTTGGCAGGGGGCGGGGCAGAGGGGAAGAAAGCAAATCAAGTTAGCAAGATCTTCTAAAGGAACCCTGGCAAAGGAGGTGATAAGTAACTTGTCATTCTCATTCCTGGGCAAACACAAATGCCACTGATTGCCACTCTGAGCTGTGAAGCAAGCCCAACAAATGGGCTCCAATCCAGCCTTTCTCTCTGAAGTGGGGCTGCAGAATATAATTTACCTAGTCACCACCTTGACATCTGACAAATGGGTGCCTGGGTGTGATTTTAAGTTCTTAGGTGTTATTGTGGGACTCTAGTAAATGACTAGTTATGTATCCAGTCTTTTTTTTTTTCTTTTTGGGTCACACCCAGCGATGCTCACGGGTTTACTCGTGGCACTGGACTCAGGAATTACTCCTGGTGGTGCTTGGGGGACCATATGGGATGTCGGGGATTGAACCCGGGTCAGTCACTTAGAAGGCAAATGCCTAAAACTCTGGCACCTGAATTGGTCTTAAAGATCCATGATGTCTCTGGAGAATACCATGTCATCTACATGAATAAAAAGGACTGTAGACATCTGCCTCTTCAGTTCAGTATGACTGAACCGAGGGTGAAGCTGTCTGGGAATCAGTAGTAGGAACTTGTTGAACCCCGATGCACCAGTTACTCGGGAGATCTCAAAGTCAGGTAAAGACTCCAAGGCCACATTTTCTGCTCTTTCACTAACCAGATTTTACTGAGCTGGGTCTGAGCAGAATAGTTGCCCCCTCCTACATACAAGAATATCTGAAGTGTGAATGCCTGGCAGTGGTAATTTTGAAAAAGAACAACCGATCACTGACAATAAATGATTGGTTTCAAAGCAAGATGTAGACTCCAGAAGCACAAAAGACTATCGTTTCTAGCTCTGGCAGCTCCAGTGTGGATGATCGATCTGTCTTTATATGCCAAGAAGTTGTAACACAAATTACCTCGGAGGAAAAGAATGGAGGTGAGGGAAGAAAGGAGAAATTTCCCTGGTTTGATTTGGTTCCAATGACTTAAAAGAACTGGCACACGCTAATGAAAAATAATTCTTCTCAAAGACAGTAAGAAAGCCCTTGTTTCCCCTCTTTTCTTTCCCAGCTTGGTTTTCCCAGAAAGGAGACAAATGAAGTTTTAATGGAAACCGGTGGTTTCTCGCTGACCGTATCTATTCCTATTTCTAATTCATTCATAATGAAGGCTGTGAAGGAAATGTGTTCAGAGTAACCAGAAGCCTGCTTGGATCCAGAAAAGCTGTGTCTAGTCTGCCATAATGAATGTCCTCATCCAAAGCCATTCTTGAGAGAGAACTAGAAGAAGTAACCTGCAAATGAGGAGTCATATTCAAAATTATTACTTAACTCCTGCAATGAAAGGATTTGGGTGGGAATGTTGAATAAGAGTAATTCACTCTCCTATTCTTTTTATACAACTTAATTGAAGACTTTATTTTAACAAGGGAAGCAGGTCCTCCCCATCTCCCCTTGAGACTAATTATCCACAACCTCACAGCATTAAAATCCCGTTCCTCATTCTGTGATGTGTAAAGGGAGGGGGATAAAAAAAACAAGGCTGCAAAATTTACAGGCAAGGTAAGATTACTTCACAGCAGGTCTCAGAAAGGAAATACAAATTGCCTTCTTGTGTAGATTTTAAATTTTTGTCTGTGTGCCTTGGCGTGGCGACTGGAATATAATGGGGTCAGATGAATGGTTTGGGGGAAAATGAATCTTTCCTTAAAACTAGAGAATCCTGAGGGCTAAGCAAGATGTTCAAGATCTCTTTAAAAATAAAACTCATCTTCAAGATGAGAAACTTGAGGTCTCGAAAGTAGATTTGATCATGCATTAATATTATCTAATTAATGACAGGCTGACTAAAGCCCCAAAGTACTGAGTCCCATTCTGGTGTTATTCCCAGCTCGGTCTGTGGCCTCCATTAAAATGTATAAAATGGGGACGAGAAGATGGTTTTACGAATCAATGCTTACCATGTGTAGGCCCTGAGTTTGACCCCTGACACCACAAAGTTCCCCAAGCACTGTGCCTTATCTATCACCCACCCTCAAATAGGAAACCAACAGCAACAATGAGAACAATAGATCAGTTCAAGCCATGGTCTCAGAAGAAAGGAAGGGAAGGGAGGGTGTTTCACCAACTCCATTTCAGTGGTGCAGAGACACACTATGGTGTGGAAATGCCAGCCCATAGTCTGCAGTGAAAGCTGACCAGAGAACTTGGCATAAAAAAATGGTTCAGCCCCTGGTGCTCTGTAACTTCCAGGGTTAAATCAGACTGACTCTTAAATCCATTAACCTCCTTGCCAAGGTTCCTGGTCCATTGTCACATGGGAAAATGAGATACAACGAATCAGGCACTCCAGAAAGCAAAAAGTCAGTAATTAGTATGTAGGACAGGGCATGGCAGTGTCGAAACTGAGAAGAAATGGAGCAGAAAACTAAATGGTCACAGGGCTCAAAGATATAACACTGCCACATGAGGAAAGGAAAAAGATGCTGCAGGATTTCAAAACAAAGGATGGCCCTAAAACTCAGGGGCAACGCAATGCAGTCTTATTTATTCGTGCAGTGAGTCTTAAGAGTCTGGGATAAACCCAAGAGAAGACAAGCAAGTCCAAGTTCAGTGCTACCTCCATCAATGATTTATTGGGATGTACTGCATTTGTTTTGTGTTTTGCTGCCATACAGAACAATGATTTATTTTATGTGCACAATAGCAGTCTAAGAATTGGACTGTGACAGAGTATTGAGGGAAAAAAACATATAGGAATACCCTACTCCTCCATGTGATTATAATTTAGACTTAGTCTGCCTAGACCTGGAAAAAGATATCATAGCTGTTGCTACTTTTGTTGTTGTCGATGTTGTTCACCATTCTTGGAAGTCCTCAGGGCTTACTCCAGGCTCTATTCTCAAGGATCACTTCCCAGCAGTGCTGGGATCAGCCACATGCAAAGCTAGTTCTTAAACCCCTGTATATCATTCTAGCCCAGAAAAGATTTTCTAATTCAAATCGTAATGGTGGTTGTGCCATACTGCTGGGTTTGCTTTTTTAACTCATCAATTAAAAAGTGATGATATTATATAATATTGTATCTCATGTGTTCCCCTTTATAGTGAACACTTAGAGCAAATTAATGAATGTAGTGTAGACTCAATTTGGGTTCAACAGCTATATGTAACAGCAGCACCTTAATACAATCACTTGTAGCTAAGGCTGATGAGAATGCAGCATTCTGAATATTGTGGATGCCTTTAACAAACACAGAGAATCCAGGAGGGAAAACATCTTTATTTTTTTTTCTTTTTGGGTCACACCTGGCGATGCACAGGGGTTACTCCTGGTTATGCACTCAGGAATCACCCCTGGTGATGCTCAGGGGACCATATGGGATGCTGGGAATCGAACCCGGGTTGGCTGCATGCAAGACAAATGCCCTACCCGCTATTGCTCCAGCCCCAGGAGGGAAAACATCTTTAACTATCAAATTCTCTTCTCTTGTTTTTATAGAAGTATTCTACTCTGTAGCTACTTAGGAAACCCCAAATTTCTGCAAAATGATCCCCTTTCTCCGCAGAAATATGTACACCTGCATTTAAGTCTCCAATGACAAATAGGAAATTTATAGTGGAAAAAAAAAGGTAACCTTATCATTTGTATTTATTTTCTAGTTTCAGTATCGACATCCGATCTACTGAGCAACATGAACACATACCACCACCGAGTCACTTGGGGTCATTCTGAAGTGCAGACTGTCATGCTTTCCCAGGATCTTCATTTCTATTTTCAGCTTGCCTCAAAACAAGTAAGGAAGCCTTATGAACATACACACACACATACACACACACACACACACACAACACACAAACACCATGTAACAATTTCTAAACTATTTGTTCCTCAAGAGAAAAATTGATGGGGCCAGACCTACAGTACAGTGGGTAAGGGTTTTGCTTTACATGTGACCGACCCAGATTGTGTCCCCAGCCTCCACATGATTCTCAGAGCACAGAGCCAAGAGTAAGTCTGGAGCACAGGTAGCTATGACCCTCACCCAATTATTTTTTTTTAAAAGAAAGAACTGATTACTAAATTTCTCCCATTTCTCCTGAGATTCCTAGTGCATAGCAAGTTTAACAGACATTTTATAAAGTTATGAATGAGTGAAGGACAGGGTAGGAAACTTCTGAAGTCCCCTAATGTGCCCAGGGGGTCACAGTGTTCTTTTTTTTTTTAATTAGTGAGACACCTTTGAATTACTCTCATCACTAGAAGTCCAGTGTGCTATCCATTGCGCCACAGAGCCAGCGGTAGAGCATTTGCCTTGCACGCAGCCAGCCCAGGTGAGCCGGGTTCAATTACTCCGCCCCTCTCAGAGAGCCCGGCAAACTACAGAGAGTATCCCGTGACTTATTCAATATGCCAAAACACAGTAACAACAAGTCTCAAAAATGGTGACGTTACTGGGCCTGCTTGAGCAAATTGATGAACAATGGGAGGACAGTGTTTTTCTGTTTGACAGTGAGACACCATGAAGTACAGTTGTAAACTTACAAACTTTTGTGTTTGGGTTTCAGTTATACAATGATCAAGTGCCCATCCCTCCACCAGTGCCCATTCTCCACAACCAATGAACCCAGTAGCCCTCCCCCCATCTCCCCCACCCCACCTCTATGGCAGGGCATTCCC